CCCTAATTATGACATCTTTATTGCTCAATCCCCAACTTGTGGAGAAAAGGGTCTGTAAGATGCTTGGTCTCAGAACAGTGCACTGGAGTGACAGTTGAGAATAATTTTGAATTAATCATTCAGTCTAGCCAACAGTGATCCAAAACAAATTAGCTTGGAGCCCAAGGACTAATCTTAGAAAAATCTAATTTAATCACATTATAATTAATAAAGTCCCTTTAACCCAATGAGGATACTGTGTTTCTTTTAACCCAAGTAGTATTGTATACAAGGGGACTTTTAAGCCAGTTAATGTTTCCATGCATTGGCAAGCCTTTAGCACTATTTCCACAACTCATATTTACCTTTAAATTCATAAACACAAGACTATAAAAAATAACCCATGGGATAGGGTAATATAGGCCTTATCTGTCTTCTGCAAGAAAATAGCTTTAAGACCTTGAGGGCAAACTCAAATGATTCATTAATACAAAGCCCATTTATGCTATGAATTGATAAGGTAAGTCTGAAACATCTAGTTTTCTCATTCCCATAAGGTTCCTTTGGGTGCCCTCTGTAAGTCATCACCATTCACTCGAAAATATTTTGACATTCAAACCACATGAGTTAAATAACATAGCTGGTCTGCAGCTGGTAGGTAGTACATGAGCACACTCTGATTTCTGCACCATTCCATAAAGCTGTTTGGGATTAACAACCTGATCCACTGGCTGCTTCTCCACACAGGAAAGGAATCTCAACTCTTGGAAAAGAGTGAAGCAGATTCTGAACTAGTAAGTTTCCCCAGCTTCACTGTAAGCATAGTCACTTATACTGTAGATCTAAACTGTAAAACAAAAATACAAAGATCTGTAAACCATCACCATTCTATATGTGACACCTTAAATAGTATGCCTCTGGGGCAGGCTAAAAATAAGCAGATTTATACATGTGTACTAGATGTCAGAGATAGCTTGTTTTATTAATATTATTTTTTCCACTGATCCAGTAACTAAAACACTTTGAAAGGGTAGATGGTGCCAGTTCTCCTTTGCCCTGGTCCCTGTGGGCCCAGGAAGTTCGTCCTGGTGTGCAGAAAAAGTGCTTCCAAGATTTCTTGTGCTTTTTTCCTTTAAATTCAACTTCCAATATAAAGATAGCCCTAGCCAAGTATCCAGATTCTCCTAATTTTGTTGAATTGCTTTTTTGTTTGCCACGGTCCTGTAGTTCTCAGGCATTTTTCAGTAGCATTTAAGGTCCTCCAATAGAAGATAAAATGGTAAAAAGAAAAAAAAAATGCACTGAACAAGGGAAATACAGTCAACAGCCAATGGCCTGCTCTCACACTTCATATTTTAATATAAAATACTCATATAGCACACTACACCTCTCTGCTATCCGAACACTGCTACTGATGAGCCCTAGACAACATAAAAAAGAAACTTCTCTCTCCCAGTTTGTATGAACAGAAAACGTAGTTCCAAACACTATGGGGAAGTTGCTTTCATGTCAGGAAATGTGTTCCAGAATCCGTGTTAGAGAAAGCAGGCAAGGAAACAGCACTTTACTGGCACCAATCTGATCCCACACCTGTTGGAATCGAGTCTGGTGTCCCATTAGTGTTCCCTTTGAAACATCTGTTGGCTGTCCTTGTGCACAGCAGCCTTCTCCCTCCAGATTTGCATTTCTCCAGTCTTCCTTTTGCTGTGACTTCTTCCAATAAGAGTTAAATAATAATTAATGTTATTCTAAAGATGAGTTAAAAACCCAAAATGCAGGTTAGAATCCTGCTACCGGGGTGTCATGTCTCAGGGAGCTGGTTAATGTCTGTCAATTTGGTATCATTCAAAATTGCCTTGATTCTCTCCAAAGAGTCTGCTTGCCGGATCCTCTCTAACTGCACCTGGAGAAACAATGTCAAGATGAATGCAGGTGATACCCTACCTATGTTCCCTCTACTCTGACCATTTTGGTTGGCATGCAGCAGATTAATTCACCATATCAGGCTCTTCAAAGAAAAGAAGAAGGGGAAAAAATACTTAGAAAATTCACCAAATTCAGTCTATGTAACAGACTGGTATGCCTGCCCTGCTAGTGCCCCCTCCAGTGCCCATCCCACTCTTGAGACAAAATTGGCCAGGTAGAAGGGAAAGGAGAAGGGGGCCAAGTCTGTAACAGGCCAAGCTCCTGCTTGAGTGACAGGCAGATATTAGAGGCAGAGGCAACTGGAAATCTCCAACTTCATTGGTACCCCCTCCCACAGATGGCCTCCCCAAACACCTCACCTGAAGAGTCTGAGAAAGTTTTACAAAATCTCTCTGTACTTGTTCACTGACATCTAATTCTGTCTGTAACCTCTGAGCTTTGTTCTTCTCTTCAAACATGAGCTGTTCAACAGTAGCCTAAAAAATAAAAGTGTTGAGTGAAAATTAATGCCAAATAGCCAGAGTTCCTAAACTCCTTAGGAACTTTAGTTACTGACTACAGGGAAGCTGTAAGCTTTTCTTTCTTTTTTGTACTAAGGATTGAACCCAGGGCCACAGTTTGTTGGTGGGCAAACCTCTACACCACCAAGCTGTATCTCCAATTCTTCCTACTACTAGGAATAATACTACCTGAATAATACCTCCATATTCCATTAATCTTTTTATTTTTATTAATTAAATTTTTTCATTTATTTTTCATCCCAACTGCAGCTTACCACTTCCCTTCTGTCTCCCACCCCAGTCTACCCCTCCTCCACCTCTGTTCAGAAAGGGGAGGCCTCCCATGAGTGCCAACAAAGCATGGCACATCAAATTGAAGTAGGACTAGGCTCTGCTCCTTATATTAAGACTGGGCAAGGAAACCCAACATTAGGAACAGATTCCCAAAGCTAGTGACCAAAGTGTTAGGGATAGGTCCTACTCCCACTGCCAGGAGTCCCACAAGTAGACCACGCCACATGACTATCACACGTATGCAGAGGGCCTAAGCCAATCCTATCCAAGTTCCCTAGCCATCAGTCCATATAGTCCGAGCTCCCAATAACAGGCCAGTTGCTTCTGTGGGTTCCCTTGTGATGACTATGACACCCCCAGCTCATACAGTCCTTCCCATTAATCTTTTAAAATTACATTTCTTTTTTTCTACTGATTGGGGGCACAGTGCTCATACTACAGCACACAAGTGGAGGTCACAGGACAAGCTGTAGGAGTCAGCTTTCCTTTCACCACGTGGGCCCCAAAGATTAAACTCAGGCTTGGTGGTAAGTACCTCTAGCTGCCTCACTGTTCCCACCTTTATTTAACACAAGGTCTCTTGTAGCCCAAACTAACCCCTGAACTTGCTGTATTGTAGCTGAAAATGAGCTTGAATTTCTGATCCACCTGCCTCCATCTTTTTTTGTGGGATACAGATTGTGCCAACACACCCAGTTTTCTGCAGAGCTGGAGATCAAACCCCAGGTACCCCTGCATGCCAACTCAACTTTATACCCACTCCCATTATCTCTTTCTTTTACATGTATTATGTGTGGAGTAGGGTAGAGAGGGAAGCACTCACAGGTGGGGACCAGGAGGACAACCTTAAGAGAGCTGGTTCTCTCCTTCCACTGTGTGAGCCCCAAGGATGAAATAAATGTCCATGGTGCAGCTGGGCAGCAAGCACCTTTCCCTGCTGATCCATTTCCCACACCCATTCTCTTTTTCCATAAGGCAGCAATGCCAGTTGGGCAGGTCACTTGCTCTAGGTATGAAACCGGGATAAGAAATGTATTCAAAGTGCTGTGTCCCTGCTCCCAAGACAAACAGCTGTCACAGCAATATGGTCAGACACTCAGAATTTTCTCTGACAATTACTAGATCAAACACCTAGTTCATATGGGCTATTCAGCCCCAGCTACCTCCAGCCTTCCTTACTGAAAATCATGGGAGCCTTTTTCTAAAAATAAGGATCAATTGACCACCAACGTAGCTCATTAGACCATGTCCAGGCAATGTTCCCTATAGTAAGCCACATGCATTTTTATTCTATACAGACTCAGGATAACCTGGAAATCTACTTCAAGGCATTTGATATAGGAATGGGATGGAGTAATGTTTTTCAAAGCAGCCTCTCCATCTCTGGAGATTGAAACCAGGGTCTCACGTCTCTACCACTAAACTATATCTATACCCCAGCCCCGACCCCACTTTTTAAACTTTTCTTTGAAACGGTCCAACTAAGTTGTCAAATCTGGCCTTAAGCTACTTGATAGCCTTTTTAAGGCCTCTGAACTAACAATTTTCCTACCCTGGCCTTCAGTAATAGGAACTGCAGACAAGCCTACACCCAGCTCATAGAAATGCTTCTAACAAAGCACTGCCCAAGTTAGGCTCAATATATAGCCACTGCATTTTGTATGCATAAGTGATTGTGTGCATATGTGTATGTGCACAATGTGTGTGCCAGAAAATTCTATCAAATCTGGAACTGGAATTATGAACTATTGTGAACCACCATATGCATACTGGGAACTGAATACTAGTCCAGTGCAAAAGGAGCCAGTGCTCTTAACTACTGAGCCATCTCTCCAGCTCCAGGTTCAATGTTTCTTATCAACTACCTAAGGCCAATAAAGTCTATAACCCAAGCCCCCAGCACTGGCAGAGGGAAGATTTACCCCAACTAACTCTAGAGACATTAAATTCATTTTCTTTCTGCAAGTTGGTAGAAGAACCAATTTTCAGAATATAACTGGAAAACAGCAAAATTGTGTTTTTCTTCTAAATAAATATGATGAATTCCTATATTTTTTAAAAAATATTTAAAAATGTATGTGTATGGGTGTTTTGTGTATTCATATGCCTGTGTACCATATGCCTCCAATGCCCATGGAGGCCAGAAGAAGGCATTGGATCCCCTTGTGACTAGATTTTTTAAAAAATGGTTTTAATACAACATGTAGGTCCTCAAGAGTACCAATGCTCTTAATCACTAGGCCATCTCTCTAACCCCCTTGTTTTTTGTAAGTTTTGTTTGCTTGAGAAAGGGTCTCACTATGTAGACCAGGCTGGCCTTGAACTCAGAGATCTACCTGCCTCTGCCTCCCTAGTTCTGGGATTAAAAGTGTGCACTACCATGCCTTAGCCTTGCTTTTTTTAAATTAAATGACCAATAAACATAATTACCTTTGCAGCAGTTTCTTTCTTTAACTGTTCCTCTAAATTAACCTTTATTTCTTGCAGACTCTCAAGTTGTTGTGACTTCTCTCTTAACGTAGATTCCAACTGTGAAAAGGTAATCAAAAGGGAAAACTGAAACTCCAAGAAACTCTGAAGGCCACACAAGCACTGTCTAGAGGTGTCTATCAGCCAGAATACTGTGCCCAGACTCAGGCTTGCTCAGACTTGGCTGTGCCTGGAATAATACTCTTCTCAAACTTCAGAGTATAGGTTCATCTTGTTCTTCCAAGCCTGGTCTTTACCAATTTATTAGGAACCTACCATATTCTAATTCTAAGGCCTAAAACTGAGAAGTCAGGAGAAACAGACATGGAAATAACTAATGCTTATCAACATTAAGGAGCAGCATTTAATTCACGGAGAAAAACTGGACAGTATTTTCTAGAAGAGATGATGAGTGACTTTTGCTTTTAGTACTGGGGACTGAACTCGGGGTCTCACAAGCTAGGTAAGCACACTCTCATTTATCTCCACCCCTAACTCCTTTTGAAACAGGACCTTTTTGTTATTGCTGTTCAGGCTGGTTTTGAACTAGCTTTGAGCTGTGTAACAGGCAGGCCTGAACCTGTGGTTCTCCTGTTTCCTCTCTTTGCCCTACTTGCACGGATTAATGTGTTTGCAGGGGAAGAAAAGGGTGACAACATAAAGAAAATAAAGAGATGTTCTAAAAACAGAATGGCTGCCCTGCCCAAGGCTGGCTGCCTACAGCAGTGTGGAGCTGTGAATCTTGGAGTCTTGAGAATCCTGAGGTGAGAGACCTCTGCACTAAGGACTATGGACTTCTCCCCACTGCTGAAGACTTTAAAAAGACTGAGACAGACTGGCTTCAACACAGCAATGAACTAAAAGAGGCTCCAGTCTAGAGGCCTCTTAGGAAACAAGTCAGGCTGTGACAACAGGCCGATGAGAAGTGACATCTCAGAGCTGGGGGTGTAGCTCAGTGGGATAGAACTTACCTAGCATACACATGAATTCAATTCCCCAAACCACCAAAAATAAGAAAGTGAAGTCTGAACCCAAACTGACAGTGGAGGGAAGCATGCAGTACATCCATGCCTGGCATTTTCTTCCCCAGTGCTAGGAAAGCACTCTTCTACTGAGCTACACCCTCCAGGCCTGAGTGCTGGTCATCTCTGTAGTGTGACCTCTATAGCAGGAAGGAAACAAGGCTGATTACCACCAAGAAGTGCCTGGGAGGTCAGGTGGAGGGCAGCATTTTTTTAAGAAACTTGGAAAAATAATGACTTAGTAGAGAAGTATAATTCAAGGAGAAACTTTGTATTGTTTTTTTTTTCCTTTTGAAAGGCTGTCTTCCTATGTACCAAATTTGAATCCTCAAACTCGAATCCTCAGCTTCTTGAGTGCTAGGATTCCCACAACCATCTCATTTTTCCCCCTCTTAATGGGAAACAGCTGGGCAATGGGAAGACAGATCAATCAAGAAGTAGATGTCCAAAGCTAGAGAACACTGAGAAGGTGGCCAGTATTACACTCTGGTGAGAAATAAGCCACAATTTTATCTTAAGAAGGCTGGTAATAAAGTAGGAGGGCATGTAACTGGGGAACCTGGGCTATAAGTGGCCCTGTCTAATGACTGAGCAGAGAAGGTACTGACGTGAAAGTGACTGAAAGAGCTACTGTGAAGAATGGAAGAGACATATCTTAGATATATTGGAACCCATGGTAGCAAAGGCATAAGATGCCACCAATTTTGGGAGTACTGGCTTCTTGAAACAACAGGTCTAATCCAGAACTGCTGCAACAATTGAATAAGGGCAGCAAAAGAAAAGTTAAGGGGGGGCTGGAGAGATGGTTCAGTGGTTAAGAGCACTGGCTGCTCTTCTAGAGGACCTAGCACCCACATGGCAGCTCACAACAGTCTGTAAACTCCAGTTCCAGGGAACCTGACACCCTCACAAACACACAGGCAATACACCAATGTATGTTTAAAAAAAAGGAAGTCACCTTTCTTTAAAAAAAAATTAAAAGAGTTAGGGGACAAGAGTGAGGGTTGGAGCCAACTAAAGAGCCCTGTAAGCTGTATATGGTGCAGTTAGGAGGAAAGAGAGCAGAGACAGGAAGTTGTTGCTTCAAGTTTAGGGAACTGGAAGAGGCACTCAAGTAAAACAGGAAGAGACTGGAGTCAAAGAAGGAGAAACAAAGTACAGCCAGCGTTACAAGTGGAGCAGCACTGAAGCAAAGATCTTTTGATTCAAGTACCCAAAAGCTAGGGAGTAGCAGGGACCAGTTAGTTAATACCATGTCCTGTGGGTGCAACTGTGTCCATTCATGCAGTGCAGCTCAGTCAAGTAGTGACCATGCCAGGCTGAGGTTCCTCTCCATCTGTACTCTGCCCATCACCACACGGCCCAGCACATAGCAAGTTCTCAATACACATTCTCTATCACTACCCCATTGTGTCCCCACTAGGCAGAGTTTCTAAAAGCAGGGTTATGCAAAGCTATCTTCATTTCTTTGTTCTAGCACAGGATTTAATAAGAAACCACTACGTGTTGGTAGAATTAATTTTAAACTTGTGACTCACCTGTCCCTTTTCAACTTTTATTCTTTCTAATTCAGCTTTTAGACTAGAAATGGAAGCTAGGACAAAAGGGAGAAATATTAGCAATCATTTATTTTTTCATTTTTTTTTCCTTAAAATGTCCCCAGAGGAGTCAGAGATACACTCTAGAGAAATGTTCCCTCTCTCAAACTATCCCAGAGAACTGACATTAAAACTAAGCTCAGGGAAAGGCCAACTATACATGCACACTGTGTGGTAACCTAAATTTCTGCTGCTAGCAATAAAGTTCTGTAAGGAAATGCTGCCCATCTGACCCTGCTACCTGGTGGCCTTTGACTCCATTGCCATCAGAGCTCATAAAACCACAAAGGATTTGAGGAGGAGGAGGGTTCATAGTTACTGTACATCTGAACACCTAGGACAGGTGTTCTTAGCTAAACTTCTGATTTCCACTTCCATGGTCAATACATTATTCTCAGCGTTATTTACTGATGAATCACTTTTTGTTCGTTAGGTTGCTTTTTGAGACAGTCTCCTGTAGTCCTGGATAGCCTTGAACTTCTGATCTTCCTGTACCCAGGCAAGCACTATACCAAACAAAGCTACACCCCCAGTCCCCAAACTACATTTTTTTCTCACCTATTTCCTCCTTGCAGTTTTCTATTTCCAGCTGTAGAGTCTCTTCAAGGTTTTCTTTTAAACACTGTTCTGCTTGAATCTGCTCTTTTAGGAAAAGTATTTCAGCCTTCAGCTTCTCTTCCATGTGGTCTGCTGCTGTCCGCACATGAACAATGTTCTCTCGATATTTTAACACCAGTTCCCGGAGCACCTACATTCAGTACACAAGAAGTTACTGGATATGTGAAGGTGAGAGTAACTGAAGATTTATGTTTCAAATGATTTACATATTTAGACTGTGAATTTCAATGCCCACAAAGTGTGGTAGAATATTATTTTAAGGAGTGTGACTTTTGTTTATGCTACATTTGTTTAACTTTGTGAAGCTGTGATTCTTTGCCTGATGATCCTAATAAAGAGCTGAATGGCCAATAGCAAGGCAGAAGCAAAGATAGGTGGGGCTGGAAGGCAGAGAGTATAAATAGGAGAAATGAGGAAGAAAGAGCAATGAGAAAACAAGGAGAGGAGGACGTCAGCAGCCAGCCAGCCAGCTACACAGCAAGACATGGAGTAAGAAGGAGAGAAAAGTATACAGGAATAGAAAAGGAAAAGCCCAGAGGCAAAAGGTAGATGGGTCAATTTAAGTTAAGAAAAGCTGTCAAGCAACAAGCCAAGTTAAGGTCAGGCATTCATAAGTAATAATAAGTCTCTATGCATGATTTATTTGGGAGCTGGATGATGGGCTCCTCAAAAAAAGCCAAAAGAGTAAAAACACATTTCACACAACAAAAACACAGTGCTCTGAAAGCACATGCCTTTGCATAGTAACGTGGCCAAAAAGTTGTGTTGTGAACTACATTTTCCCTCAAAGTTGTCTTATGAGCAGAAAAAAATAAAATGTTACATAATTTTCCAAATGAAATTCACCAAGAATACTTTTTTTTTTCTTTTTTTTCTTTTTTTGGTTTTTCAAGAAAGGGTTTCTCTGTGTAGCTTTGGAGCCTGTCCTGGCACTCACTCTGGAGACCAGGCTGGCCTTGAACTCACAGAGATCCGCCTGCCTCTGCCTCCCAAGTGCTGGAATTAAAGGTGTGCACCACCAACGCCTGGCAAGAAGAATACTTTCATGAAGATAAAAAGAGAAAAACTCAGGAACAAGTGTAAACTCAGGATAAAATACAATTAACTTACCTTTTCACACATTCAAATGCTCACTGTAAATCTCCTTAGTCAAAATCCTGTGTCAGGTAAATAATGACCCACTGACTCCCTACAAACAAACGCTTTCTAAGGCGACAAGCTTGTATACCTTGCCCCCATTTTTCTTTTGTTGAAAGAAGCTGGCCTGAACACAGAGTCCACCTGTGCCTTTGCCTCCCAAGTGCTGGATTACAAGAATATAACACCACATCTGCCCTCCTCCACCAAATTTTAAGTCTTCTGGAAATTACATCATTACCAAATTGGTATCCAAAAATAGCTTTCTAATGAATTACATTTACCTAGTTTTGGGGGATGGGGCTTACCTATGTTGCCCAGGCTGGCCTGGGACTCCCTACGCAGCCATATGACTTCATATTCATGAAGTCTTGCCTCAGTCTCTAGAGTGCTGGGATTGCAGAAAAGTACCACCATGCTCATTTTAGAAAAATTTTAAACCCAGGAATAAAAATTCTCTAGAGAACAGAACACAGAACTCTTTCCAGCCAGAGGAGAAGGTGGTGGTGAAGTTATTTAAAGCTCACAGCAAAAGCATGTATTTCCCAAGCCTTTTGTATCAGAAATTACCAGTTAAGAAAGGATCAAGTGCAGGCCTTGGCTAGACCACAGTTGTGGGCTGTGACCATGATAAACAACTGTGTCTTTAAAAAGTAAAACAACAAACTACTATTAGTAATGTTAGTATGTACACAGAAAAAAATTAGGTAGAACTTAAATCTGATAGGATTTAAGGAAAAGAAGAACTACAAGAAACTTATAAAAAGATAAAATTTATGTTACATTTGATTTTTTTTTGAGAAAGTTTCATGTGTAGTACAGGCTGGCCTAGAACTTACTATATAACACTGGTGCCTCAAACACACAGCAACCCTCCTGCCCCAGCCTCTCAAGCGCTGGGATTAAAGAGTCAAGTCACCACATCCAGCTCATATTTAATTTTTAAATAATTTTAAACAGTAACAATTTTCATTCACTATTTTATGTTTATATGGCATGAGGGAGGATGTGTTCTCCTGCCAACATGTGTGTCCTAGACTCTGTCTGGCAGACTTGGCAGCAACCACCCTTTACCTACTAAGGCTTCTCATCAGCCCAGATTTTCTTTAAAAGAAGGGAAAAAAAAAAGGAAAAAAACTTTTTCGGATCTTGGCTCCAAGGTGACCAAAAAAACAAGAAACAACAGCTGTGCCAAAGAGGGCCACTGCCATGTCAGCCATTGGCTGCACGAACTGCACCCAGTGAGTGCCCAAGAACAAGGCCGTTAAGAAGTTCATCATTTGGAACATCTTAGAGGCCTCTGCTGCAGAGACATATCTGAAGCAAGCGTCTTTGAGGCTTATGTGCTTCCCAAATTCTGTGTTAAGCTGCATTACTGTGTGAGCTGTGCTATTCATAGCAAAGTAGTCAGGAAGTGATCTCGTGAAGCTGGGAAGGATCGAACACCCCTGACACAATTTAGACCTGCTGGTGCTGCACCACGACCTCCACCAAAGCCCATGCAAAGAGGTGGCTTCCAGGGAAAAAAAAAAAAAAACTTAGAAAAATAAACTGGAAAGAAGAAGAAAAGGCGGAGGGGAAGGAGGAGGAAGCAGCAGCAGCAGTTGTCATGGTGGCACACACCTTTAATTCTAGCGCTCAGGAGGCAGAGGCAGGCAGATCTCTGTGAGTTCAAGGCCAGCCTGGTCTACAAAGATGCTATACAGAGAATACCCTGTCTGGGGGGGGGGGGGGGAGAAAGAAGAGAAGGAGATGGAAGAAGAAAAAGACCTTGAAAATAAAATTCTCTTGTTTTGAAAATTGTTCTAAGAAATTTTGTCTTTACCCAGTCAACATTGAGTTTGAGTTGTTTTGATAAAAAGTTGTTTTTTTTTTTTTAAGTGTTGAAAGATTTAGAAATACATAGTTATAACATTTGGGTAGATTTAGGAAAGTAGTTTCCCTACCACAGAAGAATAACAAGTGGCAAAGAAAATACCATCTTTACAGACAGAAAGATGGTGAGTGTGACATAGCTCTTTAGATTCTACCCACAAAAGCAAATATCACAAATCACCAGACCTTGAATTTGGCAGTGAAGCCCAACACTAAAAGCACAAGCAACAGAAGAAAAAAATATATAAACTGGCTTCATCAAAATTAAAAACAAAATTGTACCTCAAATAATCCCACTAAAAAATTAAAAAGAAAGCCTATAGATGGGAAGAAAATACTTGCAAACCATGGATTGGTTAGAACGTATGAAGAAGTCATACAAGTCAGCCGGGTGTTAGTGGCACAAACCACACGGGAGGCAGAGGCAGGCCGATCTCTGTGAGTTCAAGGCCAGCCTGGACTACAGAGTGAGTTCCAGGACAGGCTCCAAAGCCACAGAGAAATCCTGTGTCAAAAAACAAAAACAACAACAAAAAAAGTCATACAAGTCAATAAGACAAACAATTCAGTTTTAAGGTGAGCAATGGATCTGGGAATTTCTCCAGGAAGATATAGAAATCACACATTAGTGCAAGGGAAGATGCTTAATGCCTCCAGTCATTAGGGAAATGCAAATTGAAACCACAATGAGACACCATTTCCTGTCCACTATGATGACTATTATCCAAAGTGAAATATTCCATAATAGCAAGGATGTAGAGACTCAGCCAGATGTCCTGCTACTGGGAAGAGAAAATGGTGGCAGTTTAAGAAGTTTTGGGGTTTTTTTGTTTGTTTTTTGTTCTTTTTTTGAGGCAGAGTCTCACTATGTGGTCATGGCTGGCCTCAAACTCACAGAGATCCACCTACCTCTGACTCTGTCTCCCAAGTTCAAGGGGAAAAACAAAACAGTTTAATGGTTCTCCTGGTGTAAATAAAATGGTGAAACAGAACCTTCCTCCATTCAGCTGGGGGCATGAGGAAAAGGGTAACAAGTGACGGGCCATATTCCAAAAGAGAAAGGGCATCACCAATCAAAAAGGGAGACAGGACAATGAGAAAGCATGGGGAAACTGAAAGGCAAAGTAGAAAAAAGAAACAGTCTGTGGCTCCAACCCAGGTCTTCCCCAGCCCCACAAGGAAAGTGCCAACTTACAAAGGCAAATCTATTAGAGTAACAGCAGACCTCTCAACAGAAACCATAAAGGCCAGGAGAGCATGGACTAATATCTTCCAAATAACATCACAAATCTAGCAAAGCCATCTTTTAAAATCAAAATACCAGACATGGTGGCACATACCTTTAATCCAAACTACATTCATTTGCCAAGCATTTTAAGGCAAAAGTAGCTAAAAGGGAGCTGGGGAGATGGCTCAGAGACTAAGACCATGTGCAGCTAATGTAAAGGACCTGAGCTCAGTTCCCAGCACCCAGGTTCACAAGTGCCTGTAACTCTAGTTCCAGTCAATGCAATGCCTTCTTCTGGCTTCCTCAGAAGCCACGAACCTGGCAAACACACAAACAAAATTAAAATCTTTAAAAATTAATTTATGAATTAAGGTGTAGTGGCGCATACCTTTAATCCTGGCACTTAGGAAGCAGAAGCAGGTTGCTATCTGTGTGTTACAGGCCAGCCTGGTCTACATTGTGAGTTCCAGAACAGCTAGTGCAACACAGTGAGACCCTATCTTGAAAAACAACACAAAGCAAAAATAAAGCCAGGCAGAGACAAAGGACTTGGCCTACAGTTGGTTTCTGAACAACCAGGGCTATTAGTGAGGCCAATCTTAAAAGACTAAGTAAGAAGGTTTTTTTTAAACTTACACCATTTCAAAAAGTACACTTTTTTCTTCCTTTCTTTTCTTTTCTTTTTTTTTTTTTTCTTTTGATGATGTGGCAAATACAAAACCCCCACAGTATCTGGGAGGATGAAGTCTTCTGCTAGCTGTAATGACACATGCAAGCTATGCTTTCCCTGGAGGCTGTCATTGTCTTTCTGCAACCTCACCAGCTCTTCTGAAACCTGTTCACGTGACTGCATCAGCACTGCCTAAAACAGAAACAGATGAAAATCACTGCTAGGAAGGTAAATCCAGTTTAGTAACAAATGCATCAGAGAAAAACTAGGCCAAATACAACAGACATTTGAGGATGGGGGAGTATGCAATAAAACTATGCAAAACTTCTAAAAACAACACACACAGCTCATAACTTATATTTTATACACTTATTTATTGTGATGTGGACATGTGTGTGCTACAGCATGTGTACAGAGACCAGAGGACAAATTTGTGGAGTCCATTCTTTGCTTCCATGATTACAGGGGTTCCAGGTATCATATTAAGCCCAAACATCTTGCCCTGCAGAGTCATCTCACACCCCCACCAGCCCTACTCCATTTTTTTATTTGCAGTCTTTCTATATATTTAGCAAGTGTCAGGCAATGAGACAAGGACAGGAGCTCATTCTCTACTGTTCCTACAAGCATTCACAGATATTCAGTTTCTTGTCTCCCAGAACACAGTGGGACCAGATTCTATGGCTCAGTAGAATTGGCTGACACAAGCAAGACCTATACCAAACAGAACAAGTATTCTACAGAAGAAAGGAAATGACAGTATCTCCATCTTCCCTTATACCCATCGCACATACAATATTCAAGTCCAGGAGCAAGTGAACAACTGGACAGCCCCAGGCTGCAAGTCTTCAGAAGGATCTGAGGTTTCAATTGGTAGTGTACACCCTTGATCCTAGTACACAGAAGGCCTGGGCATAGGATTCAGCGATCAAGCAAGCCTCAGGTGGATAGAAAACTAAAGGCCAGCTTGAACAATAAGATCCTGTCTCAAGCTTCTACACCACTCCCTCACTGCCATCCAATAAAGAGGATGTCCTGGCTGGCCTGCAGCTCACTATGTAAACCAGGGTGGCCTTGAACTCAGAGATCTACCTGCCTCTGCTTCCCCAGTGATGGGATTAATGGCTACCATGCCCAGTTTTCTGCTGATTTTTAATATTAAGTGCTTATGGAGAAGAGAAAAGTTTAGTTAAAGCCAAAACTACCCTCAGTGTGAAATGGTGCTATAACAAAAGAGGCTTAGTGAACAGTACAAGGTTGAAGGAACACATAAGTAGGAGGAAGAGCTCATCGAGTGAGTTAAAGAATATCTCCCAAGGTGGATGATGAACAAGCTGAATCCAGACAGCAAGCAGGCAGGTCATGTATAAACTTTGGTTAAACATTATTGGCTTTATTTTCTTGAGGCTAGTTGGTTGTGCCTTATGATCACTCTCAATCTGTACCTAGCCTAGCAAGCATCCTGCCATAACTGACCCAGGCCATTAGATACACAGTCCAACAAAACAAATACAGTCAGACTAGTGAGAGAGGAGACCCAAGCCTCAGAATTACTCCGCATAGGTTCCTGGTGGCCACTGCTAATGAAGTTCCGCTTCCATCCCTCACTTCTAATGGCCTCCTGAAAGGTCTCCAGAGCTACAACAAACATAGATCCTTGGAAATTAAAAAGGCTATTCTAAATAAATAAGTTACCAGAAAAAAACACATAAGTACTCAAAAGCTGTGTGAGCTGGAGGTGACAATTATCTCTATTCTATTAGCTTTTATTTTGAAATGAAAATTAAATACTGGTCTATCATAGTTTTCTCTGTTTAGGTTTCCCAAGTCAGAAAAGATAAAGATGAAACAGGGAAGGATGAGGAGCTCTGTTTAGAAGGAAGGATGTCAGTACAGTATTTTACCATCACAAATGGAGTATATAATAGTAGCTACTTTGAGCAGGGTTAAAAGACATATTAAAGATAATCCTGAAAAGGAAAAAACAGGAATAAAGGTCGTATGTGACATGTATTTGAAATGCTGACTTACCATCTGTTCCTGAACATCCCTCTTCGCTTGAGAAAAGCTCTGTTGTAACTCTTCAAGTAAGACCTCAGAGGCTTGAGCTCTTAGGACAAGTGCAGATATCTGAAGAGAAGATGCACACATGAAAACACAGTTACAAACTGGTTATCTGAGGCTAACTCTGCATCCCATTATTCTACAGCAAATCTATGAACCAAGCATCTTTCATTCAACCAATGTGTGCACTTGCTATAAGGCAAGACTTTTGTGTACCCCAGGGCATTAACAAAGCTTAAGTCACATGCTGACTCAACAAACAGTAGTGACTGGTTCTAAGAATGATGAGAACCCACATGATCTAGTTAAGGATACATTTTTAAGAAGCCTAAAAAAATTAAAAAACAACAAAAACAAACCTAGAAGCCTAGGGCTGGAGCAAAGGCACAGCAGATAAAGGCACTTGCTGCTAAGTCTGATAACCTGAGTTTGCTCCTCATATTAACCCATATGATAGAAGAAAGAACTGACTACTATAAGTTGTCCTCTGGTCTCCACACAAGTGCCATGGCTATACATATACATATATACATGCATAACATGTATGTGTATGTACACATAAATAAAATGTACTTCTTTAAAATGAAGGAAGGAGGAAAAAAAGAGAGGAGACAGCACACCTTTAAAGGATAATTTAATCCTTTCTGAGTTGGCTGCAATCTTCTAAGGTAGGTACTGAAGAGTGATCAATATCACTTAACTCTCAACTGTTTTGAATTAGTGTTAATATTATGAGGAAGGAATTATTGAAAACTGATCATTCACACATAAAAACTAATAGAAATAATTTTGTGTAGGCATTTTAAAAATGATTGTCAGAATTTTGTTTCTAGACGGGCAGTGGTGGCACATGCCTTTAATACCAGTGTTTGGGAGGCAGAGATAGACAAATCTCTCTGAGTTCCAGGCCAGTCTGGTCTACAAAGCAAGTTTCAGGACAGCCAGGGCTACAAAGAGAAACCCTGTCTCAAAACACAAAAACAAAAAAAGAATTTTGTTTCTAATGAACAAAACTACTGACAACTAAGCTGTATAAAAATATATAATCTATCTCTTCAAAAGATTTGAGTTGTATTTTTAGTTATGTATATATGTGTATGTCTGAGTTTGGGTTTGAGCTGGAGTTAGAGGCAACTGTTGGTGGATGCTGGGAACTGAATTTAGATCCTCTACAAGAGCAGTATGTGTTCTTAACCTCTGGACCCATCTCTCCAAAACCAAAACTGTATCTCTTTAAAGGCACTGAACAACTAATACAGACTATGGGACACAGTTTGAAACAGCTCTCCAAAAGCACACTTCTAAAAGAAACAACTGTGGCACTGACAGCAGAGCAGAGCCTCTAAGAGCCAGATAGGGTAGCAAAAGTAAGAAATCCAGGATGCACCAAGAAAACACCCGGTAACAAGATCCTCAAGGACCATATTCTTGGGGAAATGAAGACTTTTAAATAATCTAACCTTCAAAATTTTATACAATCTCACTTTCTGTTACTGCATAAAATGATGCAGGACTGTAAGTATCATTAGTTACCTGCCTCTCATAAGGAATCACCCTTGAATTTCTGATCTTGTCTCAACCACCCAAGTGCTGGGATTACACCTATGGTGCTGAGGAATGAGCCAAGGGCCTTGTGCATGCTAATCAAGCACTCTACCCACTTAGCTACATCTCTAGTCCCAGTCGATTCATTATTCGTTTTAATAGAACATATGGCATTTAACACTAATACACAAGGGAATGGCTTAAAAAAAAAAAAAAAAACAGACAATAGATCTAGGTCTTCAAGGTCCAGATACATGAGCTATTAGCTACTGAACTTATTCAAGGGCTTAAATGACAGCCGGGTCTACAAAGTGATGTCCAGGACATCCAGGGCTGTTACACAGAGAAACCCTGTCTCAAAACAAAATGAAGGGAGGAGGAGAGAGGGGGAGAGGGGGAGAGTAAGGAGGGAGGGAGGGAGGGAGGGAAGAGAAACATACATATAGAAGCACAGAAGTCTAACTACACATAACCATAAAAACAACTAATGGTCAGCAGAAATAGCTAGAAGAGCTGAAGGGCTAGCCTATAAAACAATCTTGCAGTTTCTCTCACTGTTTCTACCTGTGCTCAAGAGAAGTCAGTCCAAGTATCCACCAACAGACATGCACAAGAATCCTTATAGAAAATTCACCATTGTCAAAATCTAGAAACACCTAAGCATCTCTCGACTGTTGTTTGGATAAATAGTGGTATGCTAGATACAATTTTTGTCAGGCATGGTAACACATGCCTTTAATACTATCATTTTGTAGGTAGAACCAAGTGGATCTCTGTGAATTGAAGGCCAGCCTGTTCTACATAATGAGTTCCAGAACAGCCAAGATTATGTGGAGAAACCCTGTCTCAATAATAATAAAGTAATAAAAATAATAAAAAATAATAATGATTAGTAGTAGTAGTGGTGGTGGCAGTGGGAACCAGGGACTGAACTCAGGCTTAGTGGTAAAAGCCTTTACACACTGAGTCATCTTGCCAGCCCTTGTTTTGGTTTTTGAGACAATGTCTCAAACAGACTAGCCTCCAATTCCGTAACTAAGGATGGCCTTGAACTTCTAATCTTCTTGTCCCTACCTCCCAAGTGATGATAGAAGAAGTATGTACCATCACCCTACCCTCCAGTTTGTATAGTCCTAGGGATCAAAGCCAGTGCTTAACAAATACTAGACAAGCATTCTACAAACTGAGCTACATTCCCAGCCAGCAATTCTTTTTTTTTTTTCCCCCAGCCAGCAACTCTTAACTTCGTGTTCATGAGGTTCTTATGCAGCAAGGAAACCAAAGGAAACACAAAAAAAGAGAATCAGAGCCCTGAGAGCACCTAAAATGCACTAAATACATTAAGTGATTATTTCAGAAAAAAAAAAAAAAAAAAAAAAACCCAGAATAAGATCCTGGAGAGATATATAGCTCAGCAGTTAAGAAACTTGCTCTTCCAGAGGACCTGGGTTTGGTTCCCAGCATACACATAGTGGCTCACAACTATCCACATAACTCCAATTCCAGGGGATCTGACCCCTTCTCCTGACCTCCCAGGAGACCAAACATGCATGTGGTACACATACATACAAGCAGGCAAAACATTCATACACATTTAAAATATAAGTAAATCCTTTTTAAAATAGCACAGAAAGATCAGTAAACACTTACCTCAAGAGAAAATAAAACTACCAAATCTTCAAAGCAAAAGAAATAAAGTAACTATACTTTTTGAATTTTTAAATGTAATTTTAACAAGCCAGTCATCTCTCACCTGGTGGCTTGAGTCCTCGGTGTTCTGCTTGATAAAGTCCTCTAGCTCCTGTTTCTCTTTCATTGTCTTCTCCAGCTGGTCATTAGCTTGCCTTAGCATGACCTGCAGTTTTTTCACCTATATAATTTTAAAAGTCAACAAGAAAGAAGTGGTTGGGTTTTTGCTGTTGTTATTTACAGTGGCACTAGGAATTAATTCCAGGGCCTCATGCACGCTAGGCAAGGGCTCGACCAACTGTGCTACACCCACAGCCCACAACTTTTTTTGTAAATTAAAAATAAGTCAAAAAAACTTGAGAAGTTTCATAAACTTGTCAATTCAGAAAGGAATGGATGACCTCAAGAACTACATCGTGCTTTACAGTTAACAACAACTTTTCACATACATAATCTCATTTGAAAACCTCTTCTCTGCTAGGCCCTCTAGGATCTACAATTGGCTTCCCTGTCTACTCTATCCCCTGCCTCTGATCTTCAATTCACGAGGACCCTATAAATTTTATAAAAGTGAAATCACAATGATTTTCCTACTTAGAAGCAATAATGTCTCCAAAGTTGCCAGGCTTAACCTTAATGTCCTCTGATGATCACCTCTCCTCACTGGTCTCACCTGGCCATCCTTTGTGGCTCCTTCTCCCACTAGTTTATAAACTCCCATAGCAGTCACATGTCCTGGAACATTTCTCCCTCATGACTCTGTACATTTCCCCTCGTTGAATATACGTTCTCCTTACCTAATTCTCTTAATTTGAAAACAGGCTCTGAAGCAAACACAGAAATGCTGCCTTTCCTGAGCCTACAGCTAAGCTGCACACCGTCCTCTAATCTAAATGTTCATCTCTAGGAATGAGCTGGACTGAATTTATGTTTTGTTTGTAATGCTGAAAGCTCCTTATGGGTCAAAACCATCTTTTAGCTGTATCTGAATTGCTAGGATCCAGCAAAACACCAGGCATACAAGAAGCATCAATAGAAGTCTACAGAAATAACTAAGGAATCCAAGACGACTCTTTTCCTTGTAAGGCTATCAGAAGCCAATGTATTATCTTAGTTTTATAAGTAGCTTGAAATTTTCACCTGTAAACTATCAATAAAAAAAGACTACAGATGAGGAACTAAATACTAGTGACATTTGAAAATACAAGATCATCATTCTAACCTCCTTCAGGTTCTGATGGCAAAGGCAATAAATAATCTTCATAACAATCGAGAAAAATACTAACTTTTCTTGACATGCTTTCACAAGGCTTACTCTTGTTAAATTCTATATTGTTTTTAAGTGTTACCAATGTCATACTATTCTACTCTGTACTTGGAAAAGAACTTTACCCTTAAGTTCAGCAGTCCAAACCTGTGGAAGCTTAACTTTTGTGCCCTATGGATCACCATTAATCAAATCAACAAATTTACAACAAATAGGCAGTAAGCAGAGAGTCCAGCTAGTTTTTACTCTGTCAGGGGTCACACAGTATATCTTACCTCCCTAATCTATGTACCATGAAGTGCACTGTGGGGGTTTGATCAGGCCAGCATCCAGTTTAGGTGATGGGGCTCTGGGCGACAGGGTGCTGAGAAAGGAGCTCAGGTGCTGTTAGCACCTCTGAGAGCTGAGTTGGCTGGTATGGTGTTGGCATACTAATGAAGCATGGATACCCAGAGTCCTGTTGGGCTCTCACCAGAAACCACCAGCCACTATATGTGTTAGATTATTCCATAAAGCAGACGGGGACAAAAAAAAAAAAAGACAACTCTGTGCCTCTAATGAAACTCACCTGGTCTCTTGTTTCAGCTTCCTGAATCTGAATTCCTTGTAACTGTTTTTCATAATTGGAACACATATCACAACGTCTACCAAGCTTATTTCCAGCATTATGTACCTGAAGGGCACCAAAATTACCACTTATCAGGCAGAACAAATAACTCTATGTCTCATACTCAAGGAACAAATGCACATTCTTACTAATGTTACTCAGTGACTAGCACAAAGTAAACAATTCAGATTTACAGGAGGAAATTACAATACAGAGTCAGATTCCAATAGTCATAACCTCCAATGTGTATTGTATGAAAACAAAGGACACAACTTAGCACCAAGGACCACAAAATACCACAAAGCAAGCAAAAGGTGCTATACCATGCACTCAATGCTATCTAACCAATGGGGAGAAGTGAAGGAAGGCAATGCCAATTCCCCATCACCAGTTCCAGTGACACACTGGATATGACACTAGTAAGTGGCATGTTCTTTACATGTCCTGCATAGCTCAAGGACAGCAGTTTATTTAGGTTCATCAGGCTGCTCCACTAATTCACTGAGTGCTTCTTTAAAGAGAAGTAGCCCTGAGTAAGGGAAAGCACTAATGTCAGAAAAACTAAACTCTAACCCAGATTTTACTTGATCTTTCTGAGCCAGTTTCTCCATCTGTACTGGGGACAGTTATGACCTGATTGCCTCATTATAATCATAAAGCTCAAAGAGACGAAGTATGTGAAAAGGCATGGAAATCTGTAAAGCATTGTGCAATTACAACTTACATCCCCCCTAACCCCCCACCCCAACAGACTTTCTCTGTGTAGCCATGGCTCTCCTGGAACTTCCACTGTAGACCAGGCTGGCCTTAAACTCAGAGATCCTCCTGCTTTTGCCTCCCAAGTGCTGGGATTAAAGGCATGCGTCACCACCACCTGGCACAACTTACAATCTTAACTTTAAGGAAAACTGCCCTTCATCAAGGCTGCCTTTTTTTTTTTTTTTTTCTCTCTCCCATGTTTCCAATCCTCCTTAAACCCACTCTTTGTATCAGGGGCTTAACCACTTTTGCATTTTAGAACTAAAGGAAAAATGAGTAAGTGAATCATAGCATATACTCAGCTGCAGTGACCTGAAAGCCCAAATTCAGACTGCTCTATCTATGATGCTTGTTAACACCACTGGGCAACCAGCTTTCTGTGACTGTCATACAGAAGAGACAAAACAGATTTGGCAAGGGATGAGTATGTGCTAAAGCACACTTGCTAGCAGCACATGCCTGCACTGACTCCAGAAACTATCTACTGCCTCAACAAGGAATACAAGAGTTACTAATCCCTCCAGAGTTTCAGAGAGCAAGATGTGGTGGCACACACCTATAATCCCAGCACTGGAGAGGGCAGGTAGGAGATCAAGACTCATCCTCTGAGTTTCAAGGTCATCTTCACCATATAGTATGTTGGAGGCTAGCTTGAGCTACATGAAACTCTGTCTCAAAACAAAAAGAGAACAAAAGAAATATGTTGAGAATAACTCACCTCTTTCTGCAGGAGATTCCATTCAGTCTCACTCACTAATCGGTAACCACTGGGAGATACATATGCAGTCTCCATACCCTGGGTGACGCTGGAGAGGAGGGATGCAGTCTCCTCCTGTTCAGGTGTCATTGCCTTAATTGCTCTTTCTTGATCTTTGGTTAACATAAAGCCACTTGGCATCTGCAGTGACCCAAGGGACACAGTATCAAAGTTCTCAGACACAGAATCTGCTCCAACCAGCGGTCCAAAATCCGATTCATCCAAGTTTCCAGCAGACTTTGCTTTGTAGTTATAGCCTAATGCTTTTGATTGCAACGAGCTTGAGGTTCCCAAGCTGTCTGTAGACTGTGCTCTCCGGAGTCCATCTTTAAACATGTCACTGTCTGATTTACTGAATGGATCTCCAGATGGTAACAGCAAGTCTGCATCTAAGGAATGGACTGACCCATGGGTGCTATCTAAATGCTCCTGAAATGTAAAAACATGTATTTTCAAGTTAGATAATTCTCTGAACCCCAAAAGAGAAAAGCTACCACGTCCTATATATATTTTGTCACACATTACACATAATAACCATTTTGCTGCTTTGACATGATCACTGAACAGCTATTTATCAAATAAATCTCTTCTGTATGCTGGGCACTACTCAAGCACAGGTTAGATGTATAAACAAAATACAACTTCTGATTTTAAGATATGTACAGTTTCTTGAGAGGTTAAGCAAGTAAACAGGCTCTTACAATACTATTATAACAATACAAGACAGAGATGAACTCCATGCTCAGAGGCCTCAAGAAGAAACATCTGTGTTGTGGAATATTATTTAACTAGGCAAAGATGTGTTACTTTTGTTTATGCTGCATTTATTTAATTATGTAAAGATGTGTTGCATTTGTTTCACCTTGCCTGCCCAAGGCACTTATTAGTCTAATACAAAGCTGAACAGCCAATAGCTAGGCAGAGAAAGGATAGGTGGGGCTGGCAAGCACAGAAAATAAATAGGAGGAGAAATCTAGGCTTGAGAGAGAACAAGGGAAGAGAGGAGAAAATGACGGAAACTCCCAGGGCCAGAAGCCAGCCAGACACCAGCCAGACTAAATATCAAAAAGAAATAACAAAGAATAGAAGAAGAAAAGAATAACAAAGAAATGTAGTGAGTTTTTTTTTTTTAATTATATTCTATTTAAATGACTACTCCTGGGCTGAAGAGGTGGAGCTCAGTGGTTAACAATACTGTCTACTCTTGCACAGGACCCAGCTTTGCACAGGACCCATTCATCACCTATATGAATGGCTCACAACCACTTCTAACTCCAGTTCCAGGAAATTCATTGCCATCTGCTGACCTATGCAGGCACCTGCACACATGTGATACATGTGCTATATTCAGGCACACACACACACAAAATAAATTCTTCTTAAAAATATTAAAATGGCAGTTGGGTGTGATGGTGTATTCCTTTAATCCCAGCACTCAGAAGCAAGAGGATCTCTTTGAGTTCAAGGCCAGCCTGATTTACAAATCGAGTTCCAGGACAGCTAGGATTTAAGTACATAAAGAAACCCTGTCTCAGAAAGCACACCCCCCCAAAAAAAGATTAAAATGACAATCATTTCTTTTAATTAATTATTTAAATTTTATGTGCATTGGTGTTTTGTCTACCATGTTATGTGTAAAGGTGTCAGATCCCCTGGAGTTGTAGTTGTAGACAGTTGTGAGCTGTTGGTGGGTGCTAGGATTTGAACATGGGTCCTCTAGAGGGCAGCCAGTGCTCTCAACTGTTAAGCCGTCTTTCCAGTCCCTACAGTTCCTTATATAATGTCATATCCCTGCTTTTTAAGACAGGATCTTATTATGTAATGTCAAAATGATCGAGTGGTCTAAGACAGGGTCTCATTATGTAGCTTCGACTGGCCTGGAACTCATAAAGATCTGTCTAACCCTGCCTTCCAAGTGCCATGACTAAAGGCATTGTGCCACCATCTTAGACATACTATTTGTTTTAAATATCCTTTTATGGACCAACTAGAGGAGACTGGGGAATGCACCAGCTAACTTCATTGTTTTTTATTTTCAAGTGTTTTAAAACTATTATCTGATATAATGAAAAGTTGATTATTTTTATGCTAATTTTTTTCAAATATTTTCACTCATCTGAAATTTAAAAAGCTGGGAAAACAAACCTAATTTAATTAAGCTAATGATGGCAAATGTCCCAAATAATAACAAAACTAGATTGGCACCCACATGCTGACTCACAAACATATATTTAAACTCTAGTCCCAGAGGAGCAGAAAGGTTGAGTCAGGTGTAGATTAGAAGAAAGGATACGTGATAGGTAGGATTTTAGTTAGGGGGGTGGTAGGGGAGGAAAGGAGGGAGAAGGGAACTGGGATTGTCATGTAATTCAATCTTGTTTGTAATATAAAATAAAAAAAGAGCATTTTTTATGATGAATGAATTTTGCATTTAATAATCAATATATATATAATATAATATAATAATCAATATATACACACACACATACATAGCTTCTAATCATTTTCCTAGTAATGATTGTAATAGAAACAAAATATTGAAATTTTGAATGTAACATTGTCTGATCAAATGAAAAAATAAATTAGATTTCAGTTAAATAAATAAATAAATAAACAAACTCTAGTCCCAGAGGAATCCAACACTTCATACACAGGGTGTACAGACATACATGAAGGCAAAATACCCACATACACAAAATAATATAATAAAATTAACTTAAAAAAATAAACTACTGCCAGACAGTGGTAGCGCACACCTTTAATCCCAGCACTCAGGAGGCAGAGGCAAGTGGATCTCTATGAGTTCGAGACCAGCCTGGTCTACAGAGCGAGTTCCAGGACAGCCTCCAAAACCATAGAGAAAGCCTATCTCGAAACCCACCCCCCAAAAAAACACTACTGTGATCACAGATACTATAGTGACACAATGACAGTGGGAACAGAGATGACAGGTGTGAGGGCCACTTAAAGAAGTACTAGTCTATCACCTTAGCAATAGCATGAGAAACACAAATAGCTAAGGGAAGTAAAAACTTCCTGAGCCACCAAGATGGTTCAGCTTTTATAGGCATTTGCCACTAAGCGTGATGATCTGAGCTTTACCTGAAACCACTTGGTACAAAAGACCCCAATTTCACAAGTTGCCACGGCACATACGGTCTCGCCCAGATAAATAATAAATACAAAAACAAAAGACTAATCTGTGGTCTTTCTAATATATGATTCTACAATATTTTACATCATCTTAAAATTTTTAATGCCTATAAACTTAGCTGTTCTTTTCCTAAGGACTTAAATAATAAAATACATTACAGTGATTTTTGTACAAGGAAAATTTTATATAAAATTGCATTACAGTATTATTTAATAAAAACATTTACAGCAGCAAAAAATATAACCAAGTTGATAAGTGGTATATTAGTCATGCTTATATTCTGTAGGCAGAGACTATGCATCCTAGCACTAGCTATTGCCTACTTGGAGACAATCCTCACATGTAAATTGGAAAATCTCAAATTCATACTCCCAACCATTCCTTTATCCAATTTTCACCAAGCCATTATTTCCCCTGCCCCAAATCACCCAAGAAAAGGTAGGTTCCAAACAACTAAAGCAAGTTCCTATGGCCCAAAGGCTGTCAGAATTATTCAAACTGGCCAGTCCTGAGTTTCTCCCTATACCTACAAGGCATGCCAGGGCTCTCATTTCTATGAGAGCCAGGAGCTGAGGGTGCCTATCAGTTGTACAACACAGGTTTAACACATACTAGGCCTGAGGAAAAAAAGACAAAACAGGTTAACAGCAAGGTACAGACCCTTTCATGCTGTCAGGCACCTCGTAAATTAAAACCTGGCAACAAAGTAGTAAGAAAATGGCCAAAGGGATTATGGTGCATTAACACATTAAAATTCTATTGAATGCATTAAAAAATTTCAGGGTTTCAAAACCTTAACGTAGATTTAAGCAAGGAGGAGCATTCATAAGCATGTAGACACATGTTGAGTCTGTTTGCAAAGTATCAGACAGGCAAGATGTCACATGGCTATAATTCCAGCACACTGAATGTAGAAGCAGAAAGCTCAGACGTTCAAGACCAGCCTGGGCTTTATAGGTCTGCGTCAAACAAAATAAAGCAAAGCAAGCAAACAAAACAAATGGGAACATATTTATAATATCTATGGAAAAGGAAAGAGGAAATAAGAGAATGACACATGCCAAAACATTACAGTTTTCTCTGGGTGGTCAAAACAATTATTTTTATTTGTATGGCCTTTCCTGCACTTCAGAAGTACCCCATAATATTTTCCTATTACTTTCATAGTGAAAAAGCATATTCTAAGTACCAAAATAAGGATAACATATTCGAAAATATTAAATGTCCTTAGCAATTAAATCTAAGTCTCCAAAACATTCCATATTAAAGTTGAAAACACGCATACACATGGTGAAGGTGAGAGTTGCTACTACCAAGAACCAAACCCAGAGCCTCATGCATGCTGGTCAACATTCTGTCATGGAGCTGCAGCCTCTAGCAGAAAGTCTAAAATATATTTTAATGGACGGAAAATGATATACATAGTATGAGGAAGTTGTTAGAAACAGAAACAAAAATAAAAGAAATACTTCTTTATGAATCACAAATTTTTCTTTTCTGTTTTCCAGACATTCCTGGATAGATTACTGCACGATGCAAATGTCATGTAATATCTGGCTGAACAAAAAGGGACTCTCTTCTGGGAGTCTAAGTATTAAGAAAATGCAGAGCAAAAGCACCAATTGGTCCTTAGGGTAGGCTCCAAAACAAACAAAACAAAGTACAAAAATAACAGCATGGTATTCAGTGTCTATTAGAATTAAAAAAAAAAATCAGTTCTAATATTCAAGCTATCAATAGAGATGAAAATATAAGCCACCAGGAACTGTATGTACTACACATGACTCAAAGTAAATCTGCAAACTAAACAGAAACAAGATAGATACCTGTTAGGAAAATGTACCCAACTTAACTGCAACTGTTCACCAGCTGGGAAAGGAGGTAAAAGTTAGAAAAGTGTGTATGACCAAATCCCCCACTCCATCTTTCCAATGCTGGAGATCAAACTAGGGCCTTACACTTGTTAAGCAAGCACTCTACTACTGAGCTGTAGCTATGGCATTTGTAAGTACGAAATCATAAGCAACAAGAATGGCATAAACAACACAAGTATGGACCACAAGCAGCCAGGCCTAACTGTAATGAAGTAAGAACCAGGGGTAAAGCTAAAAAGGGCCATTCAACTAGGAAAGGAGGGTCCTTAACTTTGATCCCAAAGGCACTAGGCACTAGAAGTATTTCCTTTACTAAAGAGGGAGCATCAGCATGAGCTGTGAAGGATGAGCAGGAGAATTTTAATAGTCAGATAGAGGAAGGCAAGCATTCCCAATGAAGGAACCAACATATGAGTTGGAGAGTTTGGAACAAGAGAAAGACCAATATGGGTATTAGGAGACTCTGGCCCAGAGAGATCAGTCAGTGGGTAAAGGCACTTGCTGCCAAGTCCAAAGACCTAAGTTTGATTCCCAGGTCCTACCAGATAGGAGGAAAAAAAAGTCCTGGCCTCCACATGCATGCTGAGTGTCCCCCACCCCACCCCACTCCATGTATTAAAATAAATGTTTCCTTGTTTGTTTTAAAGAAAATACTTCTTGGGGTTAAAAAGATGGCCCAGTGGTTAAAACACTTGTTGCTCCTGCAAAGGACCTGAGGTTGGTACCCAGCATCCATGTCAGACAGCTCACAACCACTTTAAAACTCTAGCTTCAGAGAATGTGATGACTTCTTCTAGACTCTGTGGGTACCTGCAAGCACATGTATAAGTTCACAAACCCACACATATGTATGCACAAACACCCAATTTTAAAAATTAAAATTAGCCGGGCGTTGGTGGCGCACGCCTTTAATCCCAGCACTCAGGAGGCAGAGGCAGGAGGATCTCTGTGAGTTCCAGGCCAGCCTGGTCTCCAGAGCGAGTGCCAGGATAGGCTCCAAAGCTACACAGAGAAACCCTGTCTCGAAAAACAAAACAAAAAACAAACCAATAAAAATTAAAATTAGTATGTGTCTAATGTGCTGCTAATAGGAGATAGGAACCCAAAGATGGATTTTGTTTCATAAGGATAAACAGTTTAATGTGTGGCTTTGAATGAACCCCTGTCAAAATAATTTTTTTTTAAAAAAATTAAAATTAGAAAGAAAATTCTTCTTGCAAATGGTTTCAACAGTCTATGTACAGAATTTCTACTAAATGACATAGATTATGGTAGTCAGGGTTGATTTTGCACACCAGAGTGGTCTGACCGCAATCACACTAAAGGAAGAGAACTTGACAGTAATGCTGAGAGTACAGTAGATTCTGTATAAGAAGTCAAAGGCAGGAAAATCAATGCAGAGGCCCTTACCACACGATAGGTATGAGATGACAGACCACAAGCACAACATCTGACACACTGCATCCCTGGGCCCCTCAGTCTTCCCCTTCCCAACATTTGCACTCTTCCTCGAAGCTTCAATGAAATATGTCAACCTTTTACCTTCTATTTTCAGAACTTAAGCCCTAATACTGGAGCTGAACAAGTGGCAAACTTCTTTAACCAATCCCAATGTTCAGAAAGCTGAGGAAGGAGTAATCTTGAGAGCAAGGTCAGCCTGAGCTACATAGCAAGACCCTGTCGTCCTCCCACCAATATGTATAATTCACATTAAAAACAGACAACAGGAGCTGGGAGGTGGTGGTGCATGCCTTTAGTCCCAGCACTTGCGAGGCAGAGGCAGGTAGATCTCTGTGAGTTCGAGACCAGCCTGGTCTACAAGAGCTAGTTCTAGGACAGCCTCCAAAGCCACAGAGAAACCCCATCTGGAAAAAAAAAAAAAAAGAAAAGAAAAGAAAAAAGACAACTGGCTGCTCTTCAATGTGGGTTTGATTCCCAGCACCCATTGGGATATCTCAACCATACATAATTCCAGTCCCAGGAATCTGAGGCCCTCTTTTGGCCTCTGTGAGCACTACATGCACATGGTGCATAAGCATACAAGCAGGCAAAACACCTATATTTAAATATGCATGCATATATGTGAATATAATATATATGGATACACACACACACACACACACACACACACACACCCCACCAATCTATTTTTAAAAAGACATCAGGCAAAGCCCTCACTGTTGGGGAATGTTATTTTTTTGGATGGGGGGAAATGTTATTTTAAGGTATGTTGCTTTTGTTTATGTTGCATTTGTTTTACCTCTGTGAAGCTGTGATGCTTTGCCTGTCTAAAACACCTGATGATCCTAATAAGATCTGAAAGGCCAATAATGAGGCAGGAGCAAGGATAGGCAAGGCTGGCAGACAGAGTATAAATAGGAGAAACGAGGAAGAAAGAGCCATGAGAGAACAAGGAGAGAAGGATGGCAGGGGCCAGCCACCCAGCCAGCCTGCCAGCTAGCCACAGAGTAAGGAAGGAAAGTAAGATATGCAGAAGTAAGAAAGATAAAAGCCCAGGGGGAAAAGCTGGCTAGCAACAAGCCAAGCTAAGACTGGGTATAAATAAGTAAGAATAAAGCCTCTGTGTGTAAGCCAGGTGTTGGTGGCACACGCCTTTAATCCCAGCACTCGGGAGGCAGAGGCAGGGGGGTCTCTGTGAGTTGGAGGCCATCTTGGGCTACAAAAGCCAGTTCCATGACAGGCTCCAAAGCCACAGAGAAACCCTGTCTTGAAAAACCAAAAAAAAAGGAAAAAATAAATAAATAAAACAAAAAGCCTCTGTGTGTATTAGGGAACTGGGTGGTGGGCACCTCAAAAATACCAAAGAGTAAAACACACACCACCACACTTGAATGTGTCTTATCCTTTTCCCTGACCCCTTTCTATTAACTCTGTACTTAAATTTGTTATTCTATAATAATCTTCATCTGGGCGGAGGTGGTGCACACCTTTAATCCCAGTGATCAGGAGACAGAAGCAGGTGAATTACACTGAGTTTGAGGCCAGCCTAGTCTACAGAATGAGTTCTAGAACAGCCAGGGCTACACAGAGAAGCCCTGCCTCAAAAAAAAAAAAAAAGAATAAATAAACAAAACAAAATAACAACAACAACAACAATAAAGCCTTTTTCATTTAAAGACTTGTTCTAATGCATGACATTTTAGGAACACCAGTAAAGGGATACCTAGTAATTTTAAATGGTAAATGAAACTTCAGTATGTCTCCGAATAGTGTTACAATGTTACAAGAGCAACTAAAAACAAAGTTGCTGTATTATTTCTTTCTCACCTACATACTTTGCACATAAACAAGGTGTCCTGGTTTAGTTTTTCTCAAGCTAGATTCACCTGGGAAGAGGGACCCTCAATTAAAAAAAAAAACAAAAAACAAAAAACCTCCCATCAGAGTATTTGCTGTGGCAAGCTTGTAGGACATTTTATGGATCAATTGATGTGGAAGAACACAATCCACTGTGGGGTGTCAGCCCTCCACAGGTGGTCATGGGGTGCAAGCCAGTAGCTGCATTCTTCCATAGCTTCTGCATGAGTTTCTGACTACTGGTTTGTGTGGAGTTCCTGTTCTGACTTCCCTCCACGATGGAGTGTGACCTGAGAATTGTAAACTAAAAACTTTCCTCTCCAAGTTGCTTTTGGTCATGGTGTTTAATCACAACAATAGATACCCTCACTAATATACAAGGTAACTAACAGATAAAAATAAACTAAAAATTATGACATTATGTACAAAATTTTTGAAATGCTTTGAGTTTTGGGCTCCAGAAAGTCTCTCACCTCAGCCTCTCCCACCCAGCATAGAAAATAGCTGTAGTTATAGATTCACCGTACCTCTTCATTTGATAATGGTGTTGAAGATTCGTCTTGAGTTAAAGCACACACTACTGGTATTTTTACTTCTTCTTCAGTATCTGTTTTTTTGTAATCTTTCCTCTTACTAAGCCTTTGTTGTTCGTCCTCCTCCTAAAAGTTAGGAAGGAAAAGGATTATTCATTATCCAGGTAATCTATATGAGTCATATAGTTCTTCGACCACTCAAAACAAGTTCAGAGATCTTTATGAGAAAAGAAAATCAGACACAAGGTTATTTGTTCTGTATTCAGTGTTAGGGAGCTCACCATTTTACTACTGTTAAGCACAAAGTAAGAAAATCAGGAAGCAACTTTTAAAAAAGCACACTATGCCCAGCACTCAGGAGGCAGAGGTAGGCAGATCTCTGTGAGTTTGAGACCAGCCTGGTCTACAACAGCTAGTTCCAGGACAGCCTTCAAAGCCACTGAGAAACCCTGCCTTTAAAAAAATAAAAGCACACTACAAAAGTAAGGCAAACAAAAGAAAAGCAACTCCTTGCTTCAGATAATCCATAACAGGCAAACTACATAGACAATCCCATCTCACTACAGAAAACAAGAAAAGTTAGTCTGATATCACACTCCATTCAAAGCATGTACAACTGATGGTGGTGGTAATCCCAGCAATCTAGAGGCCTAGGTAGGAGGCACAATTTGAAGCCAGGTTGGGCTACATATTGAAACCCTATTTTATAAAACTAAAAGC